GAAAATAAAGCAGCAATAGAGAACACGTCTCCCTTCTCGCCGACTGATCCTATTGCTGGTCATGTGATTCATTCCGTCCGAGAAACCCGCTAAAACATTTTGCGACCAGATCTCGGTGAAATAACTTTTGGTAAAACTCCACGAGTGACTCCAAAAAAAAAACAACTTCCATACAAAAGAAATTTTATACGAAACTTTCACCGTATAAATCAAACCTACAACGGAAAAACGTTTTCTATAAACACGGGCATACTTGGCATATCAAGCTCGACAAACACTACTTGGCTATTGTCCGATCGCGCTTCCCTTCAATGCCAAGTTTACAAACCAACTCGACCTTTTCGATAGCATGAAAGTGTCGTGGTCTAATCCTCTACCAAATACGACCTTGGCTGTGTGGCTGAACACAACCTTCACGCCAAGCCAATTCATTCAACGGATAATGCAAACTTTTCGAAAATCGGCTAAGTTCTGTATTCTCGCGACTCACTATATTTCCAAAGCAAGTTTCCTACAAAATCCGACATATAAGAAAACACTCATACCAGAGCTCCTAAAGCCGTACGAATCTCGGAAGATCAACACTTCACAAAGCACCATAACAAAAAACGCTTCGTTTCGGGGAAACAACTTAGCGACCTCTCGGTCCTAATTGCTCTAGCACAAATCATAAAACTACCTAGCATCCAAACAGGAATGTAAGTTTTAGTTGCGAATATCCGCAAACAAACCAAAGTGTTCCTGCAAAGCAGAGTTAAGACAAAACCCTCGCAACACCGCGCAACATCTTCGAACCCGCAAACGTTCCGAACACTTAACGCGGCATAAAAAATAAAAACCAACTTTTGGCACTGCGAGACGTCGCAGACGCCTGGAGATTAGTTTTTCAACACAAATACCTTCCTCGATAAAGTCATTTTCTTGGAAGACCTAACAGTCCGTTCGCGACTATAAAATACGCAAAACTTCTTAACGTACATATCCTTCGCAAAGGCCCAAACTACGTAAACATCTATCACTTAAAAATAGTTTGTTGCTGATCACAACGACTCGAAACAGTCCTAAACAAAGTTAAGTTATCTCGCAGAGATAGCTCTCGAACACCCGACACAAGGGTAATAGCGCTATAAAAGAAATCCAAACTTTTGGTCAGCACTTCCGGGCAACTTAGAAATTGTTCCCGGTGAGATGCTCGGTTCCAATCAGACGAATCATATAAGCCGAGAACCTATCGCGGATTCTAAATCGGTATGGAATCAGGTTAAAATCACAACAGGCAAAACGAAAGCCGACTAGTCATCGCATAGCCTCAATCCGAAAGTAAACCTAGGTCTTGCCCTAAACCCAGCACACTGGTCGCTAACGTCTCAAGGCATGAATCGAGATCCTAAAGGCATGTCTCTTCGTCTATATCTAAACGCTCACTCGATTTGCTAAACATCCTAAAACGAGCAAACGAATAAAGCGATACACTAAGGGAAAGGAATGCGAGACGACAACTCGCGGACCTCCCTCAATATCAACTCATATTCTTCCCGCTACATTCATACGAATAAAAACACGCTCTTAAAAATGCAAACTGATTTTTAATAAGGCCGCAAAAGCGGCAGGGACTCAGAGCCGCACGCGGCCAGTCAAAAAACTGTAACGGCCACGCTCGGCCAGACCAAACGGCCTACGAGGCTAGTCTCAAGACCGGCAAAGGTCCAGATGCCATCGCCATCAATATGCTCGATAATTCCTACATGACATATAACTAGACCGTAAAGGTCTTGCTAGGCTGGTTGCTAACGTCTCAAGGCATGAATCGAGATCCTAAAGGCATGTCTCTTCGTCTATATCTAAACGCTCACTCGATTTGCTAAACATCCTAAAACGAGCAAACGAATAAAACGATACACTAAGGGAAAGGAATGCGAGACGACAACTCGTGGACCTCCCTCAATATCAACTCATATTCTTCCCGCTACATTCATATGAATAAAAACACGCTCTTAAAAATGAAAACTGATTTTTAATAAGGCCGCAAAAGCGGCAGGGACTCAGAGCCGCACGCGGCCAGTCCAAAAACTGTAACGGCCACGCTCGGCCAGACCAAACGGCCTACGAGGCTAGTCTCAAGACCGGCAAAGGTCCAGATGCCATCAACATCAATATGCTCGATAATTCCTACATGACATATAACTAGACCATAAAGGTCTTGCTAGGAAACTGGTCATACGAACCTTAACTCCAAAACTAACTACGAAAGGCTTGATCCCCTCAAAAGGGTATGTAGGCAGCCTTCACAAGGCGCAGCTCTAATCTTAAACACATTCCGCTTCCTGGAGAATGAAAAGATCACTCTCAACAGACCTTTCCAACCATTAATTCCGCCTAATTTAACTAAAACTGGCTAACCACTCGCAAGACTCTTACGCTAGAAGCTCGAGATTCTAGCGAGCTGGGGGGCTAACTGTTGGTGCCAAAATCGGTCACGATGGAATCAATGGCTAAAAGTCTCCGAAAAAGTAAAAATAAAAATACGATTTATAAACATCGAGAGATCGTTTTATAAAACTCGAGAAATCGTTTTATAAAACTCGAGAAATCGTTTTATAAAACTAGATAAATCGTTTTATAAAACTCGAGAAATCGTTTTATAAAACTCAAAGAATCGTTTTATAAAACTCGATAAATCGTTTTATAAAACTCGAGAAATCGTTTTATAAATCCAAAGAGATTTCCGAACAAAGGAAATCCGCGGAAAACTCAGAAGATCGTTATCTCGGAAAAACAAAACAAACGTCGATTACACGATCGCCCGAATTAAGCACAAAACCGCGAAAAACCAAAACCGCCGTAAAACGCGAACTAGTCTCGTCTCGACTAGTTCGCCCAACGACGAGCTAAGCCAGCCGGCTTAGGCTGTTGGGCGATCTAGTCTCATCCCGACTAGTTCGCCCAACGGCGAGCTAAGCCAGCTGGCTTAGTTCGCCGTTGGGCGAACTAGAAGCTTCCCAAGAGGCGCTGACTTTTCCCCAAGGGTTCTTATCGCCTAGCTCGCCATACGGCGACCTGGCCAAGATGAACTAGCTCGCCGTACGTCGAGCCGACCATCCCACGCCTCGATCTCCCACATCCTTGATTCAAGGCATACGTCCTTCGACACGATCGTGTTCCGCGATCGAAATGTCTCCCGTTTCGTCTCGATCTGTCCTATCGTTCGAGTTTTACGATATAAACCGTAAAACTTTGTTTTCTCGAAAAGAACTTGAGGAAATTGTATAAACGGCAACGGTTAAACGAAACACCGAATATTGCCTAAACTATACGATATATCGAGAGTTTTCGTAAAAATCGTACAAAACGCGTTTTCAGTAAAACCCCGAGTAAATCGTAGAAAACGGCAACGATTAATCGAAACATCGAACATTGCCTAGCTTTACTATTAACTCGAGAAACTTATCTAAAAAACGGCATCGTATCAGGAAACGATCTCGTCTAAAGTCGTAAAACGGATTTATCGCAAACGGCTCCGAAAGTCCTAAAACGCGATAAAAGTCACTCGCGACTTTAAAACGAAATCCAACCCAAAGATACAACGACGTTTTGGCGATTCACTCGCAGAAAGAAGATAAATGTCAAACTTGAAGAAAAATGTCAAGTTTTAGGATAAACAGAAGATTTCCGCGGGAAAAAGGAAAGATTGAGATAAATGGAAAATTCCCGATAAACTCGAATCTGGGCGAAATGGAAAGACTAAACCGCCTAGGAAGGGAGTATATAAGCAAGAGGCATAGGGCAGAAGCAAGTGGACGAATTTCAGAGCTCTGATCTGAGACTTTTACAACTTTTCTAGACTTAGAATTTTCCGCACTTAGAAACTTAGGCTTTTTCTCGACAAGTTTGGTTTCTATGACTGGCGCTCAATTACTAGACGAACTCGCCTAGGCGGTTTGATCTCTGGTCCAGCTCTATCAACTGAACTATGTTCGACTTGATCCTCGAAAGGGGTACGTAGGCAGCCTTTCATAAGGTTCAGTCCGAAATCAATCAAATCATTTTTCTTATCTTTTTCCGTCTTTTGTTATCGAGCTGCGACTCGATTAGGTTTAAGGTTTTTATGTTGATAACTCGCTGACGGCCCTGCGGCTAAAGCCTTTGTAAACCCTTGTAATGATCGCAACGCTCTTACGCGAAATCGAAATAAGATCTACTTTTTCTTTAAATTCTTTTTATTACGTTTTTCATATTTTTCCGCATTTATTTGGTTACTTGTCATTGTCTTTCGCAGAGATCCGGTTCCTCTGGAAAATTAGGGTTTTCCTAAGTTTCCTTATTTAATGAAAATCGACAAGTGTGAATTTTGGTTCCCACAATGTGTTCGAAGAAGAGCAAATGATGCTTTCAATGCTAAAGGCAGACAGTATATAAAATCATAAATAACAGTTTTATAAATCATAAATCAATTTATAAAGATTTATAAAGTTTTAACACATAAAGGCTTATAAATCACTTTTAAAGGGCAAATGATTAACAAATATTAAAACATTTTATAAAGGCTTATAAATCATTTTTAACGGCTTATAAAGCATTTATAAAGGTTTATAAATTATATATAAGTGCTTATAATTTCTAATAAATCTTTGTAAATCAAGGGAGGGAGTATATAAGAGAAGTGTTACAAGTTTGTTGTTAAAGGATGGGTTGATATGGAGGTGTTTGACAGCAATTGAGTTTGATATTCTTTGGAAACATGCTAAAAAGCTGATAGAAGAGACAAGTGTGATAACACATTGGAGGCAACAAGTTTTGATACAACAAAAGAAAAAATGGAGGATGAATTACAAAATTCACATGTATGATTTATCATCACTTGTCACTTGCTTCTATGTCCCATATATGTCTTACTCAAGATGAGAAACAAAGAAAGTAACTAACTGCCCTAAAGTAAATTTAACCTCAACATGTGGGACACAAACCAGGGGGGTCAATATTATAGATTCTTACAAAATGTTCTAAGAAGCAAGTTTATAGCAAGGGGGGTCAGCCTTCTTTGACAGATTTCCTTTTGTGAGAGTCTCAACAGCTGATTTTATGGCTGGATTGATTGGATCGAAAGCGAGTAAGCGGTTTATGTCTATGCAAGTGCGGACGTGTTGGAACTTTTCTGATGGCTCTTCCACTGTAAGATCGTAAGCGTTTTCTGCTACGGCCATTTTGTTTACAACCTCCATGAGATAGCTTCCATATCCTTTTCCTTGGAAGGAAGGCAGGACCAGGATCTGGAATCGAGAACCAAGAATTGTCATATAGAAAAGAATGCAAGAAGAACTGAGATCATCGAGGTGTACATATATTATTATTACCTGGCTGAGTCTCATCCTTAACCTGTCGGGATAACGATAGAACTTATAAATAGCAGTAAAGCCCACAATTTGATATAAAGGCTCTTCTTTGTCCTCTTTCTTTTGAATTAAGAGATATAAATGCCAGTCAGGGTCAGTGACATCAATGGGGTTGCTTCCTGATATAATGGACCAACGTCTGGTTAATATACTAACACAAGAGACGATAAACATTCGAGATGCCATCAAAGAGAAAGGTGTGTGATTACCATCTACAAAAAGAAGAACAAGGGGAACCAATCGGCTATAGAGGAGTCCAGCATTTGGAGAACCAATCTCCATCCGTAAAACCTGAGGGAAATCAACCATTATATATGTTCTTTCTTAAAAAAATTTGCAGTTTCCACTGCTGATAAAACTATCACAAACTAATTTGTTCCACTAATAATTATAAGATATATAGCGCAAAATTACTTGGAGATCTGAAGGAGCCACTTGAGCATTAATGATGCTTCCATCTATCACTCCGGAATGTATTACCTCTCCGTTTGAGACCATATTTCTAAAACAAGTAATGAAAAAGTTAAAAAATTCAATGACTCCAAATCTATCTTAAAGAATAGAGGTAGAAGTATGAGAGAAAGCAGCAGTAGTGCACCTGATGAAATCTCTTTCTGTCGAAAAAGTTTGCAGAAATTCATCCTTGCTATGAACAATTGTCTCAGCAAATATGTTCTGGGGTGGAGTGAAGTAGCCAATCATAAGAAAAATAGAAACAAAAAAATGTTGAGGCATGATATAAGATAAGACATAGAAATTGATTAGTACCTGTAAAGCAGATTTGAGGTCCAGAATGCCTTTGTCTCCCTTTGAAATAAAAATAAAAAGGAAGAAGGTTGCGTTTCATTCGAAACAATAATAATATATATAAACAGCCCCAATGCGCTAAAGTTACATTCATTCTAAAAGCCAAACACTCCAATGGATCAAAAACCAAATAGTAAAAGACTTACATTGGTTGTGCTCTGGTATGTAATATCAGCATATGAATGAAATGAGATGCTATTGATCCACAGATTGATCTGAAACAAATGAAACTGAGAGCAGAATTAACTCAAAACAGAACCACAACTACAAGAAGGAGACACCAGAAACTTAGAGAAAAACTACCTTCAAACCTTAGTAACCATATATTTTCCCATCTCCATCAAAAAAATCATTCAAATCAACAGGAGTAACACATGATACATCAGTAGAACCCACTTCCTCCTTGCTCGGAACTACAAATCAACCCACCACCAAAAGAGAAAGTCAACAAAAAATATCACATGATACCCCAAATAAAATAAAAAAATTATACATATACTCAAAACAATTCATCTCTTGGAGTTGCTCTTCTAGAAAACGAAATTCACAGCAATTCTCCAATACAAAACTTCAATAATATGATTTGTAATATATTCCATGATTACTTTAGAGAGAGAGAGAGAGACTAATGGGACAGAAGCTTGGGATTTGATCTGTCGTTCTCTTCCTCTGTCTTCTTTGTTTCCCAAGCTTGGGACAGAAGCTTGGGATTCGCTACCACCGCCTTCGACGTTGCTCTGCCTTGCCACCGGATACTAACAGAATGTAAACGAGAGAGAAGATGATGATCAAAATAGTTTGTTATTCATCATAAATGTTTCTGTTACATCACACACTCCTAATATAGGAAGTGAAAATAAAAGAACTAAACCGTACCGAAATACATTCACCTAACCAAAATACAATCAATCAATGGTTAGTGTAAACCGGAACAAAACTCTCTATATTAATACCCCTCCTCAAGATGTCAATACAAGCTTGTGAGAGACATCTTGGCAACGAGTTTGTTGAACTGTGTAGGGAACAAAGGCTTAGTAAAAACATCTGCAATTTGTTGATCAGTGCGAACATGCAGTGTTTTAATAAGCCCCTCCTCAATCCTATCACGTACCTGATGACAGTCTAGCTCAATATGTTTAGTTCTTGTTGGGGTCAAAATCGGTACGACGGAATCAATAGCCAAAATTCCCCGCAAAACGCGTAAACGCAACAGTTTTATGAATCTCGAGAATCATTTTATAAAACTCAAGAGATCGTTTTATAAAACTCCTGGATCGTTTTATGAGAACTCGAAGATCGTTTTATAAAACTCCAGAGATCGTTTTATAAAACTCGAGAGATCG